ATGTGCACCTTCCCTTTTTCAAAGGTGCAACTGCTTTCCCTTCTTCTATTCCATGCTGCCTTCAACGTCCACTCCTCTCAGCCTCTTTACACCTTGCATCCCCCTTTTGCAAAGGTTGCTTGGCCCCTTTTGCAAAGGTCACCTTGTGGGCAAAGCCTTTGTTAAAAGGCTGGCCTATGGCCCAAGGCCTAAGCCAAAAAGCTGCAGGCATGAACACATGTGGGTGGTGAAAGGGTGGGGGGACAACAACATTTCAAAAGTACAGCTTGTGCAGGGTGAAACACATTTAGTTCCAGAACAACCATAAGAACCACACAGGTACCCCAAGAAGCACCAGCAGCCAGACGCAATTTGTTTGCACAAGTTGGTTGGTCTGTGCCTGGTGCTTTTGTGCTCAAGGCACTCAAAAATGCTACAGGTCCCTTGTAAAAGAGTTGTTGTGTGAGGAGTGTCCACTTGCCATCCCCTTTTGCAAAGGCAAGTCCTTTTTTCAAAGGTGTATATGTGTTCACACATACATTGCAGAGGTGGACTCAATCTCCCACACCCACACAAACCCTTTCTTTGGACCCATCCTTTTGCAAAGGTGATTTCCTTTTTTTTTTTACAAAAATGCATCCCTTTTGCAAGGATTCTGCCATGTTCTCACTTTCTGGAACTTTTGGATTGGGTCTTCATGCTGATCTGGACAAGCTCCTTGGCTTCCTCTTTGGCTTCTGAGATGGTGGCCACAGCTTCTTTCAAGACATCTTTGGTGATGCTGACCTTTCCCTTGTCACCTTTTGCAAGTTGTTTCTTCACTTTCCCAAGTGTTGCTTCCAGCTTTGCGAGCTGTGCTTCCTTCTCTCTGAAGGCAGGCTTTGTGAGGTACTTCATGCCTTTCACTTTTTCAAGTGCTTCTTCATAGTTTGTCATGCATTGCTGCACTAAATCCCTCGTTTTTTTGAGCTTCTTGATGCACTCAACTTGCTGCTCATCTGGTGGCAAGTCTTCAAGTGCTTTGGGTGCTTCCTGGTTGGTATCTCCTTTGCCCCTGCCTTTGCCTTTTTTTTGGCTCACCTTCCCTTTCCCTTCCCCTTCCCAGGGGTTTGATCCATGATCAGCGAATGCAGCTCCTTTTCCAAGAAGTTGTCCCAGCTTCCATATTCACCCTCATTCTGCTGGAACTCCTGGCCTTGGGTCCAGCTCCTTTTGGCTGTTCCTGTGGTTGTCTTTGTGTAGTCCTGTGTGTCCATGTACTCATAGACTCCCCAAGTTGTCTTACACTGCCTCCACTGCACCCTGCCACTGGCGCAATGTTTTTCCAAATCATCTCCCCATTTTTCAAGGGCTTCTTTCTCTGATAACCAGTGCTCTGTCATGGTCACCTCTTGCTTGGTGCCAATGGATCTGCTAACATTGCAGAACTTGGCAGCTTCCTTTCTCATGAGGAAAAGGGCTGTCAGCTCACCCTTTTCATTTTTGGATGCATTGTTGAATGCATCCCTTTCTTCCTCATTGCCATCCTTGTTGAGGTGGGTTTGGTGTTTGGACCAAGTCTTGCTTTTCTCAGCTGGGGTCATGCTGAGCTGCAGCTCCTTTGCTGCTTCATTTTCATCATCATTGTTTTCCGCGTTTTTTTTTGATTTTGTCTTGAAGGGACAGCTGCCCCAACTTTTGCAAGTTGTTTTTTTCAAGATTCCTGCCTGGGCTGCACCATTTTTCAAAGGTTTCCCCTTTGCAGAGGTTGGCTTCCCCTTTGCAGAGGTTGGCTTCCCCTTTGCAGATGTTTTTTTCCCTTTGGCAAGGGTTTGATTCCTGTTCCCAGAGGTTGGCTTCCCCTTTGCAGGGGTTGATTTCATCACCTTTTTCATAACCTTCATTGATTTCCCCATAGCTGAAAAAGCAAAATGGCTGCACAAACAAACCTTGAAAGCCAAAAGGCTGCAATGCAATTTGGTTCTGGGTGTTTGTTTTTTGGCTTGATTTGGATTTCAATTTGGTTTTGTTCCATGGACATGTGGAAATTAAGAAAAAAATCAGTTCTGATGAAATCTGATGAAATCTGATGAAAACCTGTTTTCATCAGATTTCATCAGATTTCATCAGGTTTCATCAGATTTCATCAGATTTCATCAGATTTCATTGGCTTGGTGTTTTCCATTTATTTCCTGATTGGGTTGGAAGGTTTGGTTTGAAATTGTGTTGCAACCCTTTTGCAAGGGTTCCCCACCTACCACACTTGGGGGAACCAACAACCAAACAGCTCATTGATAAGGACATATAATTTACAGTTTTGATTTGAAATTGTATTGCAGCCCTTTTTCAAGGGTCCCAAGCCTACCACACTTGGAGGAACCAACCACCAAACAGCTAATTGATAAGGGAATATGTTTTGTTTGTTTGTTTAACTAGAAAATGAAATATAAATAAATATACATATTAAAATATTTGTTTATTTACCTATTTTTGTTTTGTTTGTTCATATTGAAAAAATTGGGCATATGTGTACATGTGTGCTTTCCAAATTATATATAAAATGTTCAAATAATTCTAAATATATCTACTCTTATTCAAAGTATTGTTGTATATTTTTGTTCCTGAACAAAATGATATATATATATACACTTTTTTTACATTCAATTATATATTTATATGTTTTTTTTCCATTCTTTAGTTTGGGCAGCCCCAAGCCCAAAAACCATTTAGGCAACCCCAAGCCCAACCCCAAGCCCAACCCCAAGCCCAACCCCTGTGCTGCAGCAAGTGTTTGCCTGATGGCATATCCTGCAAGTGCAGTTTAAAAAGTCCTAAGGCTGTACATAACCCTGTCTCAAAGGTTTCCTTGCTGCAATCCCTTTTCCAAAGGTTCCTTTTTGCAAAGGTATACTGCAAAGGCAAACCCTTTTTCAAAGGTTCCTCTTTTGCAAGGGTGCCAATGCAAAGGCAATCCCTTGTTCAAAGGCACCTTTTTGCAAAGGTTGTGCTGCTTTTTGCATGTCCCCCTCTCTCAAGGGTATTGTTTGCACATTTTCTCTCTGAGTGCTATTGCTTCTGGCTTGCTAAGATTCCCCTTTCTCAAGGAGTCAATGATCCTGTCCAAAACCCAGCTGTATTTCTGTGACCTTGTTTTGGTGGCTTCTACTATAAGTCTAGGCTTCAGGCCTTCCACCTTGGTGCCCAGCACATAAGCTCTTTCTGGCTTCTTGGCAACTGTCTTTTGCAAAACCAGCCATGGCCCATCACCCTGCAAGGCTTTTTGTTCTTGCTTCTTGCTGCACCCTTTTGCAAAGGTTCCCTTGCTGTCCTCTTTCCCAAGAGTTTTTTTACTGCCTGCTGGCTTTTTGAGTGCAAGTGGCCTTTGGCAGCTGGACTTGGCTTTTGCAGCTGGCTTTTTGTAAGGCTTCTGCTTTTCAAAGCCCATTCTCCCTCTCAAATCTTTATCTGGTTCAATCTCTTGGATCTTTTTGGCTTGCCCCACCCTCTTTTTCAAGAGTCTGCTGGGCATAACTTCCTGCTTTTGCTGTGGGCTTTTGAGCATATTTGGAAACCCCTGTGAATCACAGCTGACATCACTGGGGTTAACTTTCAGCTTTTTGACCTTTGGCCTTTTTTCCTCCTCTTCCTCCTCTTCCTCCTCTTCCTCCTCTTCCTCCTCTTCTTCCTCTTCTTCCTCTTCTTCCTGCTCATCTTCCTCCTTTTGCTTCTCATCTTCCTCCTTTTGCTTCTGATTTTCCTCCCCATTTTGCAATGGTACATGTGCCTCCTGGATTACCACCTTTTTCAAAGTGTTTTGGAGCCTCCCTAGCTCCTGGCCAGAAAGGGCATTCACACAGGCTTGTGTTGGCCCAGATCTGGCTAGTCTTCGAATGTGAAAGAGTAACACATTCAGCCTTTCTGATCTCATGTGAACCCACAAGCTACCACTTTGGCAAGTGTTGTTGAGGCTGGGCTTCTGGGTTAGAAGGTGAAGCATGCTTTGCCTCAAGGGTGCTGGGTGGATTTCTGCAGATGCTTCCAGCTCCAGCACATCATTTACCAGATCCAAACAGTGAACCAAGCCTTTTGGGTCAGCTCCACTGTTCCTGCTGCAGCTCTCATACCCTTTGAAATTCACTAGTATGTCTTCATGCCTCAGCAGCACTTTGGTCAGAAGCCCACTTTCGATGTATGGCTTAGACCTGTGTCTTGAGCCACCTCTGGTTGGCATCCCTTTTGCAAGGTTCCCCTTTCACAAGGTTCCCCTTTCACAAGGATTTGTGAAAGGCCCTTTCTCAAGGATTTCTGGATTTGCAGGTATGTTTTTGAAAGTCTTGCACTGAAATGGCTGCAGTGGCTGGGAATCTGAACAACCCCAAAAAAATCAATTTAGACATAAAAAAACAATTGAAATTTAGTAGGTTTTTGAGGGCAAAAATCAATCTGCAAATCAATCTACAAATCAATCTGTAAATCAATTTTTTCAATCTGAGACTTTTTGAAAAAATCAATTCAAATCAATCTACAAAAAATCAATTGAAAAAAGTAGTGAATAAATTGATTAGGATCAATATTCGATGCTCAGGGTGGTGGTGACTTGGTGGTCAGGTGAGGATCCGGGACATTCCGGGACACGAAGTTCAAGGCGACAAGAGACCCGTTGCCTGCAAGGGAAAGGAGGGTTGACCATGATTTAAAGGTGCGATGATTGCCTGGCAACATCGCAGCGTTGGAAACCCACTGCCTGTAGGCCTAACAAAGCCTTGGCAAATCTCAGCTATATCACTGCTCAAGAGCGAATCCCGCCAGTTCTCTGAGATCGACATTCCCATGAAAGGTTTGGTTTCCGCTATAGTTAAAGCACAACCTTCATGACTTTACATCAGGATAGAAGCCTGGCCTCTAACACAGCCTGGTATTGGACCATAGCCCACCTCATTGCTTGGACAGATTCAAAACGGCCCGGTATATTGGTACAGTATATCCACTTCTCTCATATTGCAACGCCATGCAGTGCCATGCAGTGGTAGGTTGAGTTTCCAATGGCCAGCCGGCTGCAAACGCTGTGCAGTGTTCTTTTGGCTTTGAACATCGTCGTCATCGTGTTCCGAAGCCCCTTTTTATTCTGTCAACAACTCTCAGAACCCAGGAAGGACAGGAAGGACGATAAATCAAAGCCCAGTGAGCCGAGTGAGTCAAATTGAAAACGCTTCTGATACTGTCACCGTACAATCGGTCAACCCTGTTGATTCCGAGAAGCGATACTTCCAGTCTTGTTTACCACAGTATTTCTTGGATCATTTGACTAAAGAGTTCTACAATCTGGCGGTTCGGCAGAGGGATGGCCTGGATGTTTTTCTGGAGACCTACATCTCCCTGTGGCCTACTGATGGCCTAGTGATGTTTGACATCGGTGCAGGCTGCTATGCAAGTGGCTCGGACTCTGATACAACACTGGCCATCAAGTTCGCCAAGCACTTCGGCTGCGCCAAGAATCGATTTTTTGCCTTTGAACCACAACCAGATGTGTTCATGAAAACCATGCAATGCTTGAACAAGGAGTTGTTTCCGGATCGCTTTTGCGTCGCTTTGGAAAATGCAGCATTCTCAAACGTGACCTCACGTCTCCAACTGGCAGGGAAGGCCAATGTCGCCTCTCTGACGGAACACCTAGCTAAGTCCGGTAAGAAACATCGGGCGAAGGATCGGGTCTATGGAAAAAAAAAGAAGTGATGGCCTGGGATGTGGCCACCTATGCTCGCTTGCATAACCTGGCAAAGATTGATCTGCTGAAGATTGACACAGAGGGACATGATTTCACAGTGGTGCAGGGTGCATTGAGCATGCTACGAGCCAAAGAGATCATGGTGGTGGTCATGGAAGTGAGCGACAAGATGAATCCAGATTTCTGGGGAGCTAGCTACCGAGGAGGAAAGCCTGTTTTCCACGGCAAGCACATTGCAGAGCCCAATGTGAAGTCTGTGTGGCAATTTATGCTGAATTTAAATTACTTTGGTTTTTGGCTTGGAACCAAACGACTGGTGCCGCTTTCAGGGGCCTGCTGGGATGATCGTATGGAAATCTGCGGCGATCCGCACGGATACCTGAACAGCGGCATTTGCTGGTTCGACATTATCTTCATTCTGAACCAGGGCTATGGGGCCAAAATGATCAACGAAATCCTCAACTCGAAATGAACAAATTGCACATAGATGTACATGCATAGGCTATACCTCAAGCTATACCCATCTTTATGTCCTGTGCAAATTTAAAAACTTTTGGACAGCGCGAGACCCTGACCATTTGTGACCTTTGGTTCCAAGACAGAAGGATGCTTGCATGGCCAGGCAGCCCAGAATTTAGTTTCGTCTTTCATGGTGGAAATGCAGACAGTGCGTCTTCCCTTGGTCCAAACAACCAGGTTCACACACAGGATTCATCCTGATTCCATGATATCTGAAACCATTGGTTGCACGATTTTGACAACTTCTCATCTTGACCCGACCCTGAAGCCAAATGTGACCTTGCTCGGCTGCCTGAGGCTGGACGTGTGCGCGCTTTTGGCCTCTTTTTCGGATCACCCCATAGCATCCATAATCAGCATACATTTGCCGTACTGGACACGTTTTTGCTGCAGCGCGCCCGCAATCATTGGTCCAAGCTGCTCCAAAGATACGTTTGTTTTCTCATGCTGGCTTTGACTTGACAGCGGAATGGAGTTTTTAGAAAATAAACATTGATGGCAGCCAAAGCTTGTTTCTAATAGCTGCCATTATCTATATTGCATACACTCACATAGACACTTGAAAGACAGTATGTCGTATGGAGTCCTGACTGGTCCACCGAGTTTGTTTGCTTTTCTTGTCAATTTTTATATGACATTTGGAAATGACATTCCCAGAAAGGCTTTGCGCCGCGTGACCAAGTCACTGATTTAAAAACACATGGCTGGGGTTCTTGGCTTAGCGGCAGCCCCATGCCATGACGAAATTCGGAAAAAAAGAGGTACGTAGATCAAGCGTCCTTGATCTATATCCTTGCCACATGTCACTCAATGGGCACCTCTGCCCCCTGCTGTTTTGAAAAGCAATCAGATTGTCACAGTTTCACAGAAAATAGAATTGGATACAGGGTGTGACCCCACACACGGAGGCCGTTTTGTCGCCAAAGTAGCATCTTAACGTGCTGCTGTACATTCGGTTTAAAGCCGGAGAGCGGAGAAAACATCTGATCGATTGAACGATTTCTGTACATATAATGGGTTTGCCAATGCAAAAAGACTGATTGAGATGAGATCCGGTGGGCACGTGTAGTTTCGAGTTAAGTGGGCCCAGCTTTTTGTCCACTCATTGACAGATCCCGCAGATACGCATATATCGAATTTGGCCCGAATCAGGTGGTCTGTATTGAACAGTGCTTTCGGCCACGTTTACAGAAAAGCCAAATTATCATCTCAACCAACGGCCTGACCCTAAAAGTCTAAATTTCACTGTGTGCGACAACCAGGATGATGCTTGGCATCTTCGGAAGCAATGATGAACCTGCTGTCCACATATCTGATACCAAAAACGGCATGCCCGGGTTGATTGAGACTCTCGGAGTACATCTCTTGCCAAGCGCGTTATCCAATAGTCACAGCAAGGTTTGACAGGGAAGGAGAAATCTGGCTGCCAACGCCAGCTCCGCGAATTTGCTTTCAGAAACAGCCTAAAGCGGAGAAAATCATAGACGAGAGGCTAGAGCGAACGGTTGAAAAAATGTCCTTGACATAGATCTTCTTGAGGTTGTGGGTTGATTGTCGGTGCGATCCCGAAAAAGTTGACTGAATCGGATTTCCCGTAGCACTGACGTCTACCATTATGGTGGCAGGGTCAGAATCGAAAAATGAATGCTTTTTCTTGAGGGACAGAGTTGAAAATCCCACAAGGTCATCATTCACAAACATCAAATTTGTTTCAGTGGGAACGGCATCAAAAGATCGATGAAGGCGAGCCCAATTAGCTGGGGTGTTCAGCTGGCCCATGATCTATGGCCGCATTTGTTGTAACATTAGAGTCTAAGGCGCGGCTAACTGCTTTGAGCAGTGTGGCCATGATAGCCTTGAAAATAGCTGATCAGCGTGCGACCTTTGGTCCACTGTTTCTTCCTCTTTTAAAAATCAAAGCCATATGGTAAGGCCGCCTGTTTCTGGAAACCCCAAGGGTATAGTTTCAGCAAATGAAATGAATTGGCCGAAGAATTGACCAACTGAGCCTGGTCTGCAGTGCAATGGAGGCGCTCAAACAGGTCAGTGTCAGCCCAGGTGTTCAAAGCACCTTTAAAATACAATTTGGGACAAAAGATGGTAATGCGAAATGGTATCTCCATGATGAATGACCGAGTTTCGAGGTAGAACGCCTAGTAGGTGTTGAACTAAATATGAAATGAAAATAGATAACCGAGGTGTAGATTGCAACTGATCAAGGTGTTGTTTCCATTGCTGCTGTAAAGTGAGTAATATCATCAATCAGTTCAGGTCGAAGGCTTTGATGTTCTAACTATCGCCGAAATGCAGCAACAGTCGACCCAAGGACGAGGTGGAAGGCGGTTAAAAAAGCCAGGTCGCATGTGAATCTGAAGGGGCCATGCCATCTGCAGCCGGCATTGTCTTGATTCGACCCCACCGCCTGACCCATGCCTGCGTGGACAACGCGGGCTCGACTGACTCGATTCTTGTTCAACCTGGAACCAGTGGCGGACTTACGCAAACGGCTGGAGCTTCACTGACGAAGAGATTTGGCAGACTATTACCACGCCAAATCGTAAAATGGTAGAAAAGACACGGCTTGGAAATAAACCTTGCCAGGTTGCCACTACAGGGAATAAGACGGAAATGGGGGTTGGGATGTGTGCCAACCGAAAGTTTTACATTGATATCCCAGTTGTTTGACAGGCAATAATATTGAATCATGTAGCCGCAGCCATCCACAGGGCTTATGTTGTGAAGAATTTGGGTGACCAAGCTATAGTACATCTGCAGCGTATAGGCCAAATAGAATCTGCGCGGAAGACTTGAGGAGCCATAAAGAACTGGACTGACTTTACCTACAGGCTCTTGGTGCCTTTTGTTGGTGATGATGTTGCGATGAATAAGCAATCTCATTAATGATTTGTTTAGAATTGTTCGATCCTGTAACTTTTTCATGTTGAAGTTCATTTCACTTGTCGCTTGAAGAGTTAAAAGTTGAACGTCCGCCTGTGGGCATTTGAGGGTTCAAGCGGCCCTATACAGACACAGCAATAGCTGCCTGCTGGTCACAACGAAACATGGGATTCCAAGTGCCTCAGCCAAAGACCAAGATAGTCAAGAAAATCCGGCCGCGGCCAACTCCCATGGATACCCGGCGAATGCTGCTGAAAAGATTGCCTGTCCACAAGCTCAAGGCGAAGCTAGCGTACTTGGAGAAAATTTCAAAAACCTTGGCCTCTGTTGACTTGGAGATTGCCTTGAGGAGAGCCATCAGGTGCAGGTCAGGGTTGCCATCTAGCTTTTCCTCTTAGGCGACGATTTTTTCCGTCAGCCTAATCAAAATAGACTTGCGCACTCGCTTTCTTAGAAGCGGTTCAAGATTGGCTGGCGGGGGGGTTAAAAAAATGCAGCGATTCATCGCTGACAAAGTGGCAGGATTGGCAACAGGTGATTCTCCTCACACTTGGCAGGAAAGTGGCAGGAGCTGCAGCAGCTGCTCAGACCGAGATAACTTGTCCGGAATTCACATTTGTATTTCAAATCAGGCATTGAATGCATATGATGGCTGTAAAGACCTTAGGTGGCAGTGTTTGCAGAGGTTGGCCGTTTTATTTCAACCATTTGCCCATTGCCATTCCAACATTCACTCAAATCCAAGGATGTCTTTCTTCTTGAAAAGCAAGAGGAAGGTAGATCTTTTCCTCGCTTTGGTTGGCGAAGCTCGTGGCAATGCTGCTGACTACCGCGCGCATGAGCTGGAAGCAGTGAAGGAAGTGCTCGTGCAGAGTATGCCTTTCACCCCCTGCAACAGAGTCAAGGATGCAGCGATTAGCCTCATCGGCTTTCTGGCAGCCTGCCGAATGGCGGCAGAGTACGGCATCTCACAAGCGCCGCCATGCACCTTCCAACCTTGCCAAGAGATCTGCCAGCCCAAATCCTATGAGACACTCTTGCTAGAAGCCGGACTCTGGAAGTCAGGTTCCTGGTCGAAATATGCCCATCTTGTGATTGAAATGAAAAGCGCCCTCAAGATATTGAATTCTTACCCAGAGTGGCGCATTGTTGCTCCCCTGGAACGGCTGTGGTGCAGGCTGGCTTAGAGAATCAGATCATACTTCTGAGGCATTTTAGCGAAACATACAGTGCTTCTTCTGATTCTGAGGGGGCCGAGGCATGTAGCGATCGTTAAATGGCTGAATACCGCCCGGACCACGGGTGAAAATAAGGGTTTGCGAGGATTTGCCACAGCAGTCTTGTTGCATTTTGGTGGGCGGAAGGGCCTACAGCCTCACCAGGTTTACTGGGAAGGCCGCGTGGAGGTGCCAACATGGCACCACCGCGAGCAGCAGGGAGGGGCTGCTCGCCAGAGATGGACATCAAACAAGCTGCCCGCCCAACAGGAATCATGAACAGAGTTGTCAGGCAAAGTGGCAGTGCCACTGGAAAAAAGATATCCCAAAGAATATTAAGGGTCTCAACGCTTCTGTTCTTGAGAACTTCAAACTATATTATGTTCCAAAAGTAAAGATCTGCAAAAATAACAGTGAACCTTGCCTTGTGTAAGCGCTTCACGAAACAAGAATATATAAAACAATAGAAAAGCCGAAAAGCCGAAGCATGTTTCAAAAGTTATCCTCAAAGCCTTCAGACAAGTTTAAAATTTGTAGTGTTTGGATGCGTTTCAGCTGATTTAACTACCGGTTGCATGAGTTCGATTGGTGCGTCCAATGTGGACGGAATTGCAGCGCATGGATCTTGAGCGCGGTGCAAACGCAAGAATTCCTGAGCTAGGTGCTTGGTAGTTTTTCAGTGGGCTGGAAGAACAGTAGTGAACGAAGGAGGTGCGTCGTAGGAGGAAGATCGCCATTGATTTAGGAGTTGTCATTCCAGGTAGACCAGTGGCTGCTAGACCATGATCGAGACATGGCTGAAAGTTCTGACGTGAAAGATCTGAAAGCGGTCGTGTGGTCAGAGCAGAGATGTTCTGAGGATAGAGAAAAAATCCAGCAATGACTTGTAGAGTATGCATAACCACCGCATGATTGAAACCCCACAAGTCCTCCATATGACATGTCAAGAAAACAAAAACTAAACATCACGCAAATTCGTGAATTCTTCAACAAGTACAGAGGAGTCGTCGAGGTTGAAAAGGTCGATTACATCGAAATCCATATGAACTCGTTTACGACCAGTGAACTGCTGATCGATCGTTTTGTTGGAAGACTGGATCAAAAGGTACTGGGATTCAGACAACTGTTTCACAGTTGCAAAAGCCGAATTCATGACGGTCACCGTTGGGCTGAGGCATGGGCGAAAAAAGATTAGCGTTTGAAAAAAGATGGAGAAACTGAACACAAACCGAAATCATAACCAGACCTATATAGGTGGTTGGGCAACCGACCTCCATACAACAGCTCGAAGGAAATGGGTATCAGTAGAACTTACCCACATACGTCCATTCTTATGATGGCCACAACCTCCCTGAGGTCGCTTGTTGAGCTCTTTACATCGGCATGGTGGACCGTCTCTGCTGTGCCCCATGCCATTCCGAATAGCAAAGCACGAGTTTCGTTCTTTGTAAGATGCAGGCTGTTTCATCGTTGTCACAGCCTGCGCATGACAACTTGTATGCTTGAGCTTAAATTGTTTACAAAATTGATCGAGCTGTAGCATGTGCAAAAGCTATGTGAGCAATTTCGGTAATGTTATGATCCGGAGCTGCTCGGCGGACATCTTGTCGTATATCATTACCGTGCCTAGCTCGATGCTTTAAGGTGGGAATCGGCAAAATATAGTATTGAAATGTTTGTTAGCCAATATGCCGGATCGTATTCTACTTGCCGAAGACTATACTTAAATCTGTACCTCGAATATATCTGCTCTTGCCAACAATATTCTGCAGAACTTGGTTTGTCCGAATAGTGTTGACTGGATAAACGCACACAAATATGCGTTGTTTGGAAAAGCATTGAATCTGGCTGTCACTGATGGCCGAGGAACAAAACATCATGCCGCACTCCAGGGGTACCTCAAGCTCTGGTATCGAACCAACACAACTACGGTTCCTTGGGCTCCTTGATCGAGATCTCTTACGTCTGGATCTGGATGTGCCTCTAGACCTGGAGTCTCTACGTCCACGTCTACGATCACGATGTCTGAATCCACGAGAACTACGAGGTGACTGTGATCTTGTTGAGTTTTAAGCTCCGAGCAGTCAAAGGTGCAGCTTTTGTTGTCGCTGCTAATTGATCCCGAGCAAAAATTAACCAGTGCTATCGGAAATCGCAAAGCATGTGGTGCCTGCAAATTCGAAATTTCATTCTGAATTGGCCTAGGCGGTCGAGCTGGATCAGAGGTGGAGGGCTGAATTACCAGTTGCGGTGGTTCTGTCGAACCTTGCGAGATCCTCTCATATGCTGATATGCCAATGCTGGTTTTGGTTGACCGTGCTTGATCTCCAGCAATGAAGTAAATGTTGTACGTCATGGCTCAAGACGGGCAAAATGGCAAAGAGGAAATGAATACATTGAATACCATGAAACAAAGTCGCAGCATGATCCAAGGCAACAAAATGGATAGATTGCTTGCAAACACTGTACATTAACAAGGGTATAAAAACGGAGAATGCACAGGACATGATTGAGCCAAACGCGCTGCATTATTGAACTGTACACGACATCAGCGAAACTGTACATTCGAAATAACCGGAGATGAAACAAACATATATCTTTTGCCAGTATCCTGATTTGTGTTCTTTTTCTTTTTCTTTGTCTTTTGCTTGGACTCTCATTTGAACCACAAAGAAGTGCATGATGGGAACCCGTCACATCAGGGGAACAATTTCCGAGGCCAGCGAGTCACTGGATCATGACCAGACCATGAGGGAATCTCGGCCGAAACACACTCGGACGACCGTATGTTGTATGGAGTCCTGACGGGTCCACCGAATTTGTTTGTCTTTCTTGCCAATTCTTTAACATGTGGATTTGCATGAAATTCCCAGACAGGCCTTGCACCGCGTGACTACGTCACTGATTTAAAAAATATTGTTGGGGTTCTTGGCTTAGCCCCCTTGCCATAACAAAATTCGGAAAACAGCAGGTACGTAGATCAAGCGTCCTTGATCTATATTTTTGCCACATGTCACTCAGCTTCGTTGGCAGAGGACGAGACATTGGCACCTCTGCCCCCTGCTGTTTTGAAAAGCAATCAGATTGTCACAATTTCATAGAAAATCAAAAAACCCTCGGATACAGGCCGTGACCCCACACACACAACAGCTTAGTGCTGAAAGCATTCAGGTTTAATTCCTTAAGCGTTCAGCCCACGCCCAGAGAATTGTGAATCATCTGAATCGGGTCATCTCCATCCAGCGCATAAGTTGTATGGTGATTATGGTAAAAACGAAACGCTGCAAACATGACCGCTGTATATCATGGTCCCTTGGGAATGAGCTTAGCACGGTCTAGTGCTTGAATCCAATGTGGCATGGTGTGGCAATGGCGACGCAGAGCTGTTGTGATCTCCTTGTTGGCTGTCCCTGGCGTGGTGTACAACCTTTACCTTTACATCCCCACAGTTCAGCCCTCTCTTTTCCTGTTCCTTTCCTCATCGAACAGGAGCACTGGGTTTCCAGAAAAGAACACGAGCACTTCAGTTGTTTCTGATTTTTCTAGCAGAAGGGTTTCCACAACAACTTCAACATCCAGCACACAACTTCCAAACACAACTTGGAGCCTGAGTTCCTCAAGTTCAAGCATTTCAGTTTCAGATACAACAGCCATCAACGGGAACCCTTGTGTACGAGAGGCTTGGGCTACACTTTTCTCAACAGGAGTTACGGCAGACTGGGACACAGCAAAGAGCTACTTGTTAGCAACTCTTGTGCTCAGGAACAGCGTGCAGAAGTTCGAACGCTGTCGTCCACATCGGCCGTTTTTTGTGTTGCACAACCAAAGCTTCAGTGAACCAGATCGGTGGGCAACAATGGAATTGTCGAAAATGGGGGCTTTGTAGACGTTCCTTTATCCATGGAGGTGCCATATCCAAATCCTAAAAGACCAGAGCTGTCCATTGGCTGGTTGAAGCTGGCGGTTTGGAATCTGACGACCTGGGACCGGATTGTGGTTTTGGATGCCGACATGCTGGCGATAGGACCCTTGGAGGGTGCCTTCTTTCCAGCTTCTCATGTTCCTCCGCTCTCGTTGATTACGAGTCCAATGGGAGCTCCAAACTCTTTCAGGTCGGTGAATATTGGCGTCATGTCCATCCAGCCATCCGCCAGAGTCTTTGAACCTTGGAGAGTGAGTATGTCCTTCAATTTGTTTCATGTTGCTGACAACATTTTCTTATGTGGAATTGAATGACGTGGGATTTCGATAATTACCCTGATGATGTTATCACGTGGTACAGGGACTCAACCTACAACATGAGCCATGAGTCGTCACAATCGGTCTCTTCGTTTTAGTCTTGTGATCCGTGGAAACCAAAGGCAACCCAGCAGACCCGTTCTCTTATTTTTTTGTTTCAAGTGGCAGGAAACAATGTTGCGTGAACTTCATTCCTTCGACCATCGCACCAACAAGCCTGACAGCCAGGTTCGGGGCCCGGGTAGTCAAAAGGTTTTTGATGTATTTGAATGTGGTAAACCCAAGCCTGTTTTTTTACACTTTCCCAATTGGCACTTTTAGTATTGGGCATTGGGGATGCTTTGCTGTATTGCTGCCTTGCACGGCGCCAACACAGCAAAACCTTTGCGTACAGCTTCAATACCCCAGGGCATGTTTCAATAGGGTGCACCACTTGCGGTTGCTCCCGAGAGCGTCTGAGCGCAGGGTTCTTCCAATAGTGGGGGTCTGTAAAACATCTTCTCATCTTCTCATCTTCACATCTTCACATATTCACATCTTCTCATCCTCACATCTTCGCATCTTCTCATCTTCTCATATTCACATCTTCTCATCTTCACATATTCACATCTTCTCATCCTCATATCTTCACATCTTCACATCTTCTCATCTTCTCATCTTCTCATATTCCCATCTTCACATCTTCACATATTCACATCTTCTCATCCTCACATCTTCACATCTTCTCATCT